TACTCTGTTGTGTGTCACCTCCCTCGAACATTCGCGTATGTTCTGTTTTGTTTGACTCTCTCTCTCTCGATCCATCTCTCTCCCCCCCCTCTCTCTATGTTCTCCGTGCTTCTCCCTCCGTATCCCTCTCTCTTTGCTGGGTTTGCTCGATCTCTCTCTCTCTCTCTCTTGCGCGCGCCCTCTCATATCTGCTTCTGCTGCCCCTCCGCGCACCTCCCCCTCACGCTCCTCTGTCCCTTCATCGTCTCTTCTCCTCAACCTCTTTCTCTCGCTCTCCCCCTCTCCCATCTCCTCCCTGCTACGAAAGGCTGCTGAAGGGGATCGTGGTCGTCGGCTGTGCGCTGGCCCACCATCCCCGCAAAATCCACATGCAAGCGGATTGTGGCACACACGCCATACACCATGCTGGGCACCCTGCGGCCACTTTGCACATATTTTGACAAGGGCCGCGCGGGTGTCGACACGCTTCCCGAGGTGTGCTGCGTTGTCACGTGCACTGGCGAGCCTGGCTCACTCTGAGCGCGTTGCGCCCGCGGCGCGGCTGGAGCACGTGGCACACGTGGCGCACGGGGCGCATCTGTCGGCGGCGAGCGAGGGGGGAACGTGAGAAGGAGAAGGCCTTCTCGGAAGGCGGCGGAGCTTCTCAGAAACCCTTGCGCCTCCTGAAAACGTACTGCGTCTCCCGGGAAGGCTCAGAAAACTTCTCAGAAGGCCGAGGGACCTCTGATCGGGGATGGACAGACCCCCTTTAGTAAAACGTGGTTTAGTGAACACGACCTGAGGCCCAAACCTGGCGGGCGCAAGCCTGGAAAATAACGGCCACGGCGCCCTCTCGAGAACCGAAAACGGACAATTCACTAATCGACGTGTCACTGATGTGAGCTTTTTGAGAGGGCCCGCCCCTCCTCCCTTCCGCCTCCTCGCTCGCCGCCGATGGACCACGTGGCGCACGTGGCGACCGCGGCGCAACTGACCCACCAGGCGCATCTGGCACGTTGCGGCCCCCGTGGCATCTGGCGGACCCGGTGCGCGCACGGCGCGCAGGGCAGGCGTGTGGCGCGCGTCGCAGACGCCGCCCCCCCCCCCCCCACTCTCACCCCTCCTCCTCCTCCTCCCTCCCTCACCTCCTCCTCCCTCCTCCCTCCTATCCTCTCCTCCTCCTCTCCTCCCTCCCTCCTCCTCCTCCCTCCTCCCTCCTCCTCCTCCTCCTCCTCCTCCTCCCTCTCCTCCTCCTCCTCTCCCACCCCTCCCCCTCCTCCTCCTCCTCCTCCTCTCACTCCTCCTCCTCCTCTCCTCCTCCTCCTGCCTCTCTCCACTCCTCTCCTCCCCTCCTCCTCCCTCTCCTCCTCTCCTTCCTCCTCCTCCTCGCCTCCTCCTCTTCCTCCTCCTCCTCCTCCTCCCCCCCCCCGGCGCCCGCATTCGCTCCCAGTGGCTGGCCATCCAGTGTGGACCTCTGCCGACGCTGCGTCCCAGGTGGTAGTTTCGGCGGGGAGCGAGGGGGGTGGAAGCGAGAAGGGTGAAGGCCTTCTCAGAAAGCGGCGGGGCTTCTCAGGAGCCCTCGCGCCTTCTGAGGGGTGTTTTGCGTCTTCCCGGAAGGCTTAGAAAACTTCTCAGAAGGCCGGGGGCCTTCCGGGCCTTCTGAGCAGGCTCGCCCCTTCTCACTTTCCCCCGTCGCTCGCGGCCGATAATTACATGGGGCGAGGGCGGGTAGGAGTGAGTGAGACTGCGTGTGGCGCTCCCGTTGGGAATTGGGCGACTCCCCCCACAACCTCCCCTGGGTCTGGACGAGGTAGTGACGCAAAGGGCTACAGTGTCCAGGATGGCCCAATATGGCTCCAAGGTAGCCCCAGATATCCTCCAGGATGGCACAAGATGTCCAAGTTGGTTAATGACGGCCTCCAGCAGACCTGCTTAGGGAAGGCCTCAGGAGCGCCCGAAGACTGCCCGAGGTGACCACGGAACCGCCCAGTCTTGCCCCCTAGGGAGCAACACAAGCATTCCAAAATCCAAGGGTTGCTCATCTACGGGGAAATCAAAAGGTACCGATACCGCGACTCCCTGGACCTCTCCTGAGATGCGTTCTGACAAGGATTTCGAGGCGAATCCAGCGGTGGCGACGAGGGCCGCCGAGGAGGCCAAAGAAAGGGAAAACGGGGGAAGGGTAGAGGTATGGGTACCTTTTCCTCCTCTGAATCTATTGAGGCTTATCGCACGCTCGCTTCCCATGGGCGTCTGATGCCTCGAGATGGCCCGACACATCCAAGGGAGGACCAACACGGCTGCAAGACGGCCTGGACACCCCCACCCGGCCCGCCCCAAAGGGCATCCCAAGAGGGCCCCCAGCGGCGATGTGTCAAGCCCCGACGCGGCGGCGCTGATTTTAGGTCGTGCATGTCCCCCTACAGGCGGATTTTGGACGAAAATGAAACATATTCAAAAAATACCCCAGAATAATTCCAAAAATGCTCAAATAATCATCCCCATATGATTTCTTCACTATTTTTGAATATTCCTCCTGTACAGGGACACGCCCGACTCAAGTCCAGCCCCGACGCGGCGACGCTGATTCAGAACGCCCCTCTTTTGTAGATGGTCTCCGGGGTCGGCCTCAGGTGCCCTCAAACAGGCCACTCCAAAGCTTCCGGCGTCCAAGGACAAGCCACAGAACTGCCCCACAAAGCCCACCGATAGCTCACTGACAGCTTCCTGCGGGACAGGCTCGCGACGGCCTCGATGGTCGAATCCTGAAGCCTTCGCAGGCTGCCTTGAAGACATCAGGGCTCAACTGGAGGTTATGCTCAGCTTAGAGAAGAAGATACGAATGGGGGATCTAACGATCGCGTTCCCTGTGTGTCACTGCATAAGACTCGTTTCTGGATGGGCTGGTGGGGCTCTACCAAATGACAACAAAGGGACGCCGACGGACTGAGGTAACACACGAATGTATACTTAGAAACAGCGGTCGATAACGATGACGGTGAGCACATACCTACATACCTATGTATTCACACAAGTAAGTATACAAACTCATAGGTATAAGTTTGTTTCCCTTATGTTTACGTATATATTTATATCTGTATGCATACACAGGAACGACATGCTACTGGGATTGGGAATAATATTTGTAAAACTGAACGCGTGCACGGAATCACACATTGCAGCTTACCGGCGCATGCTGGCGCGAGGCAACAATTAATCGAGACCTCTGCTCTGGGACTGTCGAGCCCCATCTGAATGTGGCCCAGCGAGAGAGAGAAGGGCCAGCAGTGTGAGTCCTCGCTGAGCTCGAGGTTGGCGGACGCCTCGCATCCTTTGTCGGTCTGGCGGACGTGCACCTCGGGCGCTCTCCCGAAGCGAAGGGCCACTCCAAGGGAAGAGGTGCACCGTTCCTCCCGCGATGCCCTGTCGACTGCTTCCCGAAGGGGTAGGCCACGAGCGCCAGAGAAGCCAGCGTGCGAACGATCAGCGACACAACGACTGCACTGTGCAAGCGCGTGCTCGTGTCAGCCGACTGCCTCACGCGTGGCGGCTCCCGGCATGCTGGTCGAGACGGGCTTCCTGTGTTGACGGCCCTGGGGCCCTGCGAGAGGTCCAGGAAACCGAACACGGGTAAAGACCGAGTCCTGCCCCCCCATGAGGCTTCCATGGTGACGGCACGGGAAGCCGTGACCCAGGCTCCTCTTGAGGGGCCTGTGTTCCGCCACCACCACACCAGAAGTTGGAGGGGGGAACGAGGTGGAGGACGAGGAGCAGGAGGACGAGAAGGAGGAGGAGGAGGTGGAGGAGGACCCCCTTCCCCTCCAACTTATGGTGGTGGTGGTGGTGGTGGTGGTGGTGGTGGTGGTGGGAAACAGGCCCATCACTTCTGACTCTTCCTTGCCCTTGCTGGGGTGCCCTTTCCTTCCTCGGCCGCGGCCGCGCGAACGAGGGCGACCCGTCGGCGCGCCGCCTCGCGCTTTCGGCCGCCCGCAGCAGAAAGAGTGTGCACGCGTGGATTGGTGGTCGCCCCCTGTGGTTCCCCTCCTCCCCCTCCTCCTCCTCCTCCTCCTCCTCCACCTCCTCCTCCTCCTCCTCCTCCTCCTCCTCCTCTCCTCCTCCTCCTCCCCTCCTCCCCCCTCCCCCTCCTCCACCTTCTCCTCCCTCCTCCTCCTCCTCCTCCACCTCCTCCTCCTCCTCCTCCTCCTCCTCCTCGGGTCGCCTACGGCCCTGGGAGAAACCGTGCATCCAAGGTTGTTGCTCCCTCGCTCGGTTCACCTCCCGAGGCAACTCACGAGAGCCTCCCAGGTCAGCATGATGGCTCTTGCGAGTCGACGCCAATCGACGCTACATCGGTGCCAATCGACGCTGCATCGGCGTTTTGGCTTTTTCAGCGACTGCCAAGCGCTACCGTACGGGAACGCACTCTCGAGCTGCAGAATCCCCCCTCTCCGCACAGACAGGGGCCTCCGAGCCGGGGCGGGGTCGGACGATCGCGCCGCATCGCCGATGCATCGCCGACGCATCGGTGATGCATCAGCGATGCATCCGCGATGCATCGGCGACGCATCGGCCCCCTCGGCGTGTTTTTTCCAGCGCAACGCAGATTCGATAACTCGCACAGATCCACACCCCGCAACGCGGGGAATGAGAGCTGGCGGAAGCCCCTCAACTAAAAACCTCGACGGAGGAGATGCACATAATGAGTCGAGACGTTCACAAGTAAATCTCGCACGACGGGACACAGCTATCCCACTGCGTGGGGAAAGACGGGCTCCACATCGAGACGCATCGGCGGTGCATCGGCGATGCGGCGCGGTCCTCCGGCCCCATCTGGGACCTGTCCCCCTCGCTCGGACGTCCGGCCCCGCTGCACTTGTTCCGGCCTCGCGCGCGCACTTGTTGTTGTCCGCAGGGGGAGCGAACATGCTCCTCGGTGGCCCTTGCCGAGAAAAAAACGCACACGCCGGAGCGATGCCAAGATGCGGAGCAGGAGGAGGAGGAGGAGGAGGAGGAGGAGGAGGAGTAGCAGGAGGAGCAGGAGGAGGAGGAGCAGCAGGAGGAGAAGGAGGAGGAGGAGCAGCAGGAGGAGAAGGAGGAGGAGGAGGAGGGGAAGGAGGATCGAGGAGCGAGGAGCGAAGGGGGGAGGAGCGAAGTGCGAGGAGCGAGAAGGAGGAGGGAGGAGCGAGGAGGACGAGGAGGAGGGAGGAGGAGGAGGCCTCGAAACAGGGTGGCTTTTCGTGGATGAACGCCTGGGCTCCTCGTCCCAAAGCCGCGGGAGCCCCCCAGCCGCTTCGGTGGCCTCGCTCGGCGCTTCGGGCGCTTCCGCGACGGCCCGCGTGCGGCCGCGGCGCCAAAATTCCTGAGAACTAATAGCGGGAAAACAAACCTACCTCGCTTTTGACCACCCTCGCTTCCAAGAGATACCAAACGATGCCAAATTTCAGCCTGTACTGGTCAGGCCGCTTGACGAGAAGGCGCGTGGTATGGCTTGGTTTTGCCTGGAAGCGAAAGCGGGGTAGGTAATTCACGCTCTGAACTAAGGAGGTTTCAGATTAGAAGCCTGCCGGCAAGGGTAGCCCCAGATCTCGCCCCGGCTTCCGTGAGGAATCCCGCTGCGGGCTGCTTGAACTGCAAATCGGTCCCGAGAGACCTTTTCTCAGCGTTTCCCAACACTTGTGCCCAGAAGCTCTCCGGAAGCTCCTTCGGAAGCTCCTCCAAAGAGCTTCAAGAGCTCTTTCGAGAGGCCTTTGGACGGCCTCCTGGCGCTCCGCTATCCAAGTTTTGGAGTTCACCAGTGTGCGGACCGGTGGAGCGTGCAACGAATCCAATTGAATGCCGTCGTCAAACTGACTAAGGCCACCCCAACCCGGCCCGAAGTCCCAAATTTTCGGTGGGGGTGCGTACCGGTTTAGTATGTGTTTGTCCTATGTCTCGGGATGCCCCCCACTTGGAGTGGAGGGCAACTTGCGGACGCCAGGTTGGGTTGGGGCGGTTTGGTGGGTAGTGTCGAACTGATGCTTCGCCCAAAAAGGAGTACTGCAAGCGACGGCGCAATCAGTACAAAGGCAATCCAATTTGCAAATGTCATCATCTCTCTTCGTGCAGCAAACACTTGCGACGGAAGAACAGGATCCGGACAATTCTGCCGCAGCAATTCCCGCCAGCAATCTGCGCGTAGGTGGTTTATCGAGTCCGTCGTTCAACCTCACTGTTCCCTCTTCGGGGAGGCCTGAAATATTACTGCTCATGATGGATAACAACTCCCAAAATTGACCCGGGTCGACGCCCTGGAACAACACGGGCATACCACCCAATCCCCGCCCAAAACAATACAACGTGCACAGAGCGGCAAAGTGCTGATCACGACCCTACGCTGATCGATCGCCGTGCAGTGTTTTCCTGACGGGGACGGCAGGGGGGGCCATTTTTGTCCGCTGCGCGTTTGCCAACCATCCCCGATCCGAAACCAATGCTCACTGCTTACGGGTGCACACGCCGTACACCATGTTGCTCACCACGCCGCCGCTTTGCAGCACACTAGGTTCTCAACAAGAACTGCATGGGGGGGGGGGTCGACATGTTTGCCCGGCGTGCGCTGTCACATGCACGGGCGCACTGGTCGCCGCCTGGCGCTCTCTGCGCGCGTCGCATTCGAGGCGCACCTGGCGCGGCGAGTGCACGCGGCACACTTGGCGCACGTGGCGCATCTGGCGCTCAAGGCGTGCCTGGCACGCTCGGGCCCCTGAGTCACCTGGCGCACCTGGCGCCAGGTCTGGTGCCCTCGCTGGGTAACTACTCCTCCTCCTCTTGCCTCCTGCCTCCTCCTCCTCCTGCTCCTCCTCCTGCAGAGAGCCAAGAAAGCGCGGCGGCAAATCTGCGCCACGAGCCACCCCACACGTGCCACACACGAGTGGATCCGCGTGGGCAGGAGCCCCTCACCGCGACTTCCCTCCCAGTCCTAGCTCCCTCCCCTGCCATCGCTCGGACGTCCATTCCCTGTGTTTTGCTCGGTTTCGTGCGTGTTTTTTTCGGCCAAATGATCCAGGATGCTCCTCGATGGTCCTCGACGAAGGAAAAATGCACACGTCCGAGCGATGCCAAGCTCCCGATGACCCCAGGCTTCCAGTCAGACGAGCTGCCATCCATCCGCCCTCGCGCAACAAGAGAGAAGTGCTGCTGGGAGCGCACCGCAAGCCACCGGTGACCGCCTCCGAGCAACACCGAGGCTACAGCCTGCGCGTCAGGTGCCGGCCGTTTCCTTCGTCTGCTGCTGCAGGCTCCCCACCGCTCTGCTGCGGATTGCTCCTGTCGCTGCCCATCGATCTGCGTCCTACTTCTCCACCTGCACCTCCTCCCTCGTCCCACCTCCACCTTCCTCTTGCTGCACCCTCGTGACCCCCTCTTCCTCATGCATTATCCATCCACTCACCTTCCTTCCCTCCTCCCTCCTCAACCATCCTTCCTATACCACCTCCATCCTCCTCCTTCTCCTCCTCCTCCTCTACCTCCTTCCCCTTTCCTACCATTTTCCTCCTTTTCGTACGTCTCGTCATCTCCCTCCCCCCATCCACATCACCGTTAATGTTTCTCGTCCTCCTCCTCCACCTCCTCCTCATAACTATCATCATCATCATCATCATCATCATCATCATCATCATCATCAGCATCAGCATCAGCATCAGCATCATCATCATCATCATCATCATCATCATCATCATCATCATCGTCACCATCGTCATCGTCGGCATCCTCATCGGCATCGACGTCAGCATCAGTACCATCAAAAACACCAGTATCATTATCAGCATCGCCATCACCATCCCTCTTATCATGGTAATCATGTTGTTCCTCAGCATCTTCCTCGTCATTCTCCTCTCCTCACCATCCCTCATTACTTATGTTTCAAATATTCCCGCCAGCTCATACAGGAACGATGCCCAAGGGAACTGCCTTTACTTGGGAAGCGTAACTTCATTTGGAGAGCTCAGGTAGCCTCTGTGGGCCAGAATCCTCCTGGGTGCCTATCAGTGTCTCTTCTTGATGTGGACTGCCTGTCCGACGTGTGTTCAATATTCGATTTCCCCTTCGAAGCTACGTCCGGTTTCCTCTGTCTGCGTCACTGCGCAAAGATACCCTGCTAATTGACTACTCCGTGATATCACCACTGTCTAGCGCTGCGGCTGTGTGCGACAGACCGCAACATTGATACGCCAATCTTCCGTAACCCTCGCCCCCCATGCGAAGTGGGGGCTGATGCATATCCACTGCGTGGGGAAACGATGTCCTGGGACCTTGTGCGGCAATGGATAAGAACAGAATTGGGGTTCGATTGTTTCCATGGCTACCGCCAGCCGAGGTCACCAAACTTTGATCCTCCAGGCGAAGGCCATGGATCCATTCCCGCATCGGGCATCCACCCCGCTTCTTCCGGAAGTCCTGGCAGACTTTGGGGGAAAAGACAACTGTATACGTAAACTGGAATTTACGGAGCAACGCTTGAATTCATGCCTCTTCGAGCAGGTGCCCGCGTCGCCGCCGACGAGGAACCTTGCGGCCGGACCCCCCCGATGCCGCTCCGCTCCGCTGCTGGCACAGTTGCCCATCGTGCGGAAGAGGTGCGCAGCAACATGCAGCAGGCAGGCGTTGAACGCAGATCTGGCTCCAGCCCACCCGCCCGAAGAGGAAGGGAGATAGGGGAACAAAAAGTGGCGTAAACATAAAAACTCGGAGGTCCGCGCGGATTTCTCGGATCGGCGCTGGACCCCCCTCCCTGGCGCGCGGAGCGCGCCAAGGGCGGCGCCGGAGGCGCCGCCGGGGAGGCCCCAGCGCGGATCCGAGAAATTCCCGCGGACTTCTGAGTCTTCATGGTTATGCCACTTGTTCCCCTCGGAGAAGGAAGAACGTTCGCTTCTGTTTTGTTTTCTCCCCCAACAGCCGACCGTCAGCCTGAGCGCGGAAGCTCCCACCCGCCGCGGGGGGTCCCAGGGGCTCTCCTCGGCGGCGCTTCGCTCACACTACAACGGGCGGGGCGGGGACACGATGGAGCCGTCTGGCCTTCGACTGGACAGGAGGGAGGAACGCTCGACTCTTGAAGTAAGGGGGCGCCTAAAGCAGGTGGGAATCAAGGGGTCCAAGGGACCCCCCTCAGATCTAGCCGCCACCGCCCCCAGGACCCTCCCCTCGGAACCCTCCCTGGACCCTCCCCCGGCACCCCCCCAAAGGAGAAGAAAGAGGACCGGAAGAATCAAGGAGGGAGGAGGCCACAGAGACGCGAAGATCACCGAATCCAAAGCCCCCCGTATCGGCGGCACTGGCCGGAGGCCATTGCAAGAAGGGGCGCCTAAAGCAGGTGGGAAACAAAAAAGCCAAGAAAACCTACAGCCATCGTGCTACCGTAGGGAACCCTGAAGAGGGAACGATGGAGCTCTTGTGGCAGGGGCCGGCATGGCCGCGAACGGGCTACCCGACCTGGACCCCAGAATGGGGAGAAGGGAGAGGAGGAGGAGGAGGAGGAGGAGGAGGAGGAGGAGGAGGAGGAGGAGGAGGAGGAGGAGGAGGAGGAGGAGGAGAGGAGGAGGAGGAGGAGGAGGAGGAGGAGGAGGAGGAGGAGGAGGAGAAGGGGGGAGAGGAGGAGGAGGAGGAGGAGGTAGGAGGAGGAGGAGGGAGGAGGAGAGGAGGAGGAGGAGGAGGGAGGAGGAGGAGGAGGAGGAGGAGGAGGAGGAGGAGGAAGGAGGAGGCGGAGGAGGAGGAGGAGGAAGGAGAGGAGGAGGGGAGGAGGAGGAGGAGGGGGGAGGAGGAGGAGGAGGAGGAGCGGGGGGAGCGGAGGCGGAGAAGGAGGAGGAGGAGAGGAGGAGGAGGAGAGAGGTTGAGGAGGAGAAGGAGGAGGAGGAGGAGGAGGAGGAAGAGGAGGAGGAGGAGGAAAAGGGGGGGAGGAGGAGGAGGAGGAGGAGGAGGAGGAGGAGGAGGGGGAGGAGGAGGAGGAGGAGGAGGAGGAGGAGGACGAGGAGGAGGAGGAGAAGGAGGAGGAGGAGAAAGAGGAGGAGTTGGAGGAGGAGGAGGGGGAGGAGGAGGAGGAGGAGGAGGATGAGGAGGAGGAGGGGGAGCGAGGAGCGAGGACGGCAGCGCGAGGAGCGAGGAGTGAAGGGCGAGGAGCGAAGGGCGAGGTGGAGGAGGTGCGAGGAGCCTCGGCCGCGAACAAGCTGCCCGACCCGGATCCGAGGAGAGTCCCGAAAACTAGAGAGCGGGTCCTGCACCCCAAAAGTGGCCCTTTATCGCAACGTCCGCGCCTGCACCAGAAAGCACCTTCATTTCTTAGCTGCCCCGATGCGCAACACGCAACACGTATCGTACCGATACGGAGCTCATCACGTAGGCTGAAAACGTAGGCCCGACGCGATGCATTCGCCCAAAAGTGGTCCAATACGTGGAGCCAACACGCAACGTATTGACACGGACGTCTTGAACACGGGCCGTGCTGCGTTTCAACACAGGCGCATCGAGGCAACTAAGCTTCCTCTGTGTTGCATGCGTCAGCGCAGCGCGGATGGGGTATGAGACCACCCGCGGGGCGTGAGGAAAGGCTGGTCGAACGCGCCCTGCGAGCGTGCATCAGCAACCGAGCCTGGAGACTGTGCCACGCAATGGCGTTCATAGTTAAGTCGGGCGTGTCCCCTACAAGGGGATCTGGGGCGAACGAATACGTAAAAATAACCGATACCGGGCGATAATCATCCCCCAGGGATGATCAAGTTCGGGGTTCTGGCGGCGATGATAAAAGATCCTCCCGGGGATGAGGATAATGCTGATGATGATGACGATGACGATGATGATGGCGATCCTGGGCGCTCCGCACAAGGCTGACTCGAGAGATCGAGGCTCGTGGCAATGCAAGCAGGCGCTCGGCGCAAGGCTGACTCGAGAGATCTCAAGGCTCGTGGCTATACAACTTGCCAGCAGGCGCTCGTTGTCAACATGCTATGATAACAACGTCGATTCGCAACTCTCCCGTGGATTATAAAGTGCGGCCTCCGCGCCCCCCTCCACAATTAAGTCCTGCTGGACGGGGATACAAAAAACAGGAGGGGGAAAGGGGTGTGTGTGTGTACTTTATTATCGCCCGTCGTCGGTTACCCTCACAGTACTCCAAACTAAAAAAAAATGTGGAAATATCAATCCCCAGACTATTTTTGGATCACTTTTGAATCTTCCTCCTGCTGTGAGGGACAGGCCCGTCTGAAGCTTATAGCTCCGGCGCTGCACGGAGGCAGGGCGAAAGGACAGGGGGCGAAGACGGCCGGGCAGGGCCCCGAGCAAGCCGAGCAGGACCTGCTGGGCCTGCAAGAGCACCTTGGGTTCCTCCGTGGCCGTGCGCTCGCACGGCCTCGCCAGAGCACCTGCTCGGGAGGCCCTGTAAGGTGGCCTACGTAGAGAACGATAACAACGATAACAACGATAACAACGATAACAACGTAGAGAGTGCATGAGCCATCCAGGGCTCCACCAGGGCAAGGCAGTCCCTGTCTAGCACCAGGGCCTGCAGGGCACCCGGGCTCCTCCGTGGCCGTGCGCTCGCACGGCCTCGTCAGAGCACCTGCTCGGGAGGCCCTGCAGGTTGCATAGAGGATACGTGGGCGATCCAGGGCTTCACCAGGGAAGGGCACTCCCTGTCGAGCACCAGGCAGCTGCGCAGTTGGCGAGGGCCTGTAGGTGGGCTGGAAAGTACATCGGCGATCTATCGGGGATGGGCATAACCCCCTGTGGTAGAACGTGGTTTAGTCAACACGACCTCGGGCCCAAACCTGGCGGTGGCAAGCCTGGGAAGTGACGGCCGCGGCGCCCTCTCGACAACCGAACACGGGCAATTCACTAATCGACGTGTCCGGGTGGCGGTTCTGTCCACCCCCGAATCTAGGGCTCCACTAGGCAAGGGCAGTCCCTGTCGAGCACCAGGCAGTTGCGCAGAGGAAGCAGACCCGGAGGCGCACGGCACTCCAAGAAGCCTGCTGCAGCGAGCGACGGTGGGCGGACAAAATGTGTCCACACTTGTCGCGCCAAGACAACTCGTCGTCAAATCACGTCGAACGAATATGCATACCCCCCTTTCCCCCAACTCAAAGTTGGCGGGGTTAGGCGGCAGGCCGCGCGCCAGGGACAAAATGTGGACACTTCAACCTTGGGTTTTGGGGGGGAGGGATGCGAGGCAAGTGCATCCTGCTGTTGCGGTTGTTATCACGTCGCAGTGTCTTGCCGCCGTGGGTGTGGACACTTGTTGTCCGGGCGCCGTCCGGGTTAGATGTGTTTGGTGGTTTCATGGTGCCATCGTGCTTACATGCGTGCGTGCATTTAAGTGTGTGTTGGTGCGTGATTATGCGTCCAGCACGACACGCAGTTAGATGACGATGTGCGCGTATACGGAACCACGGGACTCCCGCAGGACCACCGCGGGACAACCCATGGGACAACCCGCGGGACCACCACGGGACAACCCACGGGGCAGCCCTTGGGACAACCGTGGGACTACCCACGGGACAGCCACGGGACAACTTACATGGCCACTTCGAGACAGGGTCTGGGGGCCCACCACCGTCTGGCTCAAATCACGAGGCCGACGCCGGGCTCCCCCGCCGTCGCTTCCGACGGCGCGGAACTGGTATAACTGGGCAGAACTGGTCATATTCTATGACTCAAAGTTGGCGGGGTTAGGCGGCAGGCCGCGCGCCAGGGACAAAATGTGGACACTTCAACTTTGGGTTTTGGGGGGGAGGGATGCGAGGCAAATGCATCCTGCTGTTGCGGTTGTTATCACGTCGCAGTGTCTTGCCGCCGTGGGTGTGGACACTTTTTGTCCGGGCACCGGAGGAGTGGCCGACGCCCGACGCACCCGCGACTCGGGCGACGCACCCACGGGAGCATGGTGGGCCTGCTTTCCACCACCACCAACGCCATAAGTAGGAGGGGGAGGGGGTCCTCCTCCTCCTCCTCCTCCTCCTCCTCTTCTTCCTCCTCCTCCTCATCCTCCACCTCCTTCCCCCCGCCAACTTCTGGTGGTGGTTGTGGAAAACAGGCCCATCAGAGCACCCCCCCCCCTGGCGGGCGCCGGGCCCGGGCCTGGATCCGCGCCTCGAAGGCCCCCTGCAGCACGAACGACCTGCGGCCCACGCGCACGCGGGGCGCGCTTCACGAAGAGCGCCAGACGCATTCACACCGATGCCCTTGCCGTCTGGATTCGGGGGCACGATTCCGCGCATACGCGGTCGCATGGATGCGTTCCGCGCGGGGCATCCCCCAAAGAAACAGCCCCTGATCCACTGGGTCGCGGCCCAGGGATCAGGCCCGCGAAGACGTGGATACGAATATGATGTCCGCCCATGAGCGCTGGCGGCGTGTACAATCGGGTCGTCAAAGGCTTAACGGCTTCTGCAGTACCTCGATTCGCGTTGTGCCTTCCACGATATCTAATAGATTCGCGTGAATTCGTCGGCAACCCTGGGGGCCGCCAGTCTGCGACGCTAGTCTATTCCATCCGAAGGCGCTCTCCTTGCTGGGGACCAGACCTGCCCACCAACCACCGAATACCTTTTTTGAGCTTGTTCCCGATGGGACTCCCTTACCATCGCTTGGACGTCCATTCCCCTTGCTTTCCTCGGTTCCGTGCGTGTTTTCGTCTGCTCAATGATCAAGGAGGCTCCTCGATGCTTCTCGGGAGGAGGAGGAGGAGGAGGAAGAGGAGGAGGGGAAGGAGGAGGAGGAGGAGGAGGAGGAGGAGGAGGAGAAGGGGGGGAGGAGGAGGAGGAGGAGGAGGAGAGGAGGAGGAGGAAGAGGAGGAGGAGGGAGGAGGAGGAGGAGGGACGATGGGGAGGGGGACGAGGGAGGAGGAGGAGGAGGAGGGGGAGGAGGGGAGGAGGAGGAGGGAGGAAGAAGAGGAGGATGAGGAGAAAGAGGAGGAGGAGGGGGAGAAGGGGGAGAAGGAGGAGGAGGAGGGGAGGAAGAGGGGAGAAGGAGGAGGAGGAGGATAAGGAGGGGGAGGAGGAGGAGGAGGGAGGACGAGGGGGAGGGGGATGGGGAGGAGGAGGAGGAGGAGGAGGAGGAGGAGGAGGAGGAGGAGGGTGAGGAGGAGGAGGAGGAGGAGGAGGAGGAGGAGGAGGATAAGGAGGGGAGGAGGAGGGGAGGGGGAGGAGAAGGAGGAGGAGGAGGAGGAGGGGGAGGGGGAGGAGAAGGAGGGAGGGAGGGGGAGGGGGGGGAGGAGGAGGAGGGGGAGGAGGTGTGCTGAGTGTGCTGACTACACGGGGCAGGGCCCCCTCTCCGCAGAGACTCAGGCCTGCCACTCGGCAGGCTCCTCAAAAAACTCGGGCCCTCCCCTCCCCACGGGCCTGGAAAAGTCCACCACGGCCCAGGGGGAATCAACGCCGTGCAACAATGCGACCAGTCTGTCGTCTAGCTGCGGCACGTTGGTGCCGTACTTGACCTAAGGGTCGCTGGAGCACACATCGACTGAACGTCCCCACTTCCTGCCTCCTGCCCCCACGCGCCTCCAGCGAGGGAGGGGGAGCGGGAGGCCCAGGCCTCGACGTCCTCGCCTGAGGGGGCGCGGACGTCCACGATCCGCGCCTTAAGGCGCCCTGGCATGAGCCCTCGGCGGAGGAGGGAACGCTGGGTCCGCAGTCCAGGGCCCCCCCCTCCCACGACACACCCCGCCCAGCCCCTCGCCCGACCGAGCAATCCTGTGCACCGAGGACCCGCAAACTTTACAAAATAAAACATCTGGCTCGGGCTCCGCCCCTTCGGTCAGGGGCGCGACCGACGCCTTGACGACCGAATGGCTATTGAGAGCCCAAGGCGCCCCTGAACACTCCTGAAGATCAGGGCCCCCCTCACCTCCCGCAGCAGCAGCAGAAGGGGGGGAACGAGGGGGCGGCGGCGGCGGAGGAGGCGGCAGGGAGGCCGAGGGCGCAGCTCCCCTGACAAGAACCACGCCTGGGATCGCCGCAAACGGCTCCACCCCCTCGTCACACGCCACACTGGCCAAGCACTCCCACTCGAAAGGGCTGAGCTCGAATGTGATCCCCGAGGCCCCAACAACCCCCTCAGAGTCGACGAACCCACCATCGCCCATCAACTGTTGGGCCCTCGCATGCCATCTCGAGACATCGCGGGCCATGGCCTCGACCCCCTGTACAAAGGCACACTGCTGTGGGGGGGCCGACCACCTCAAGGCACCTTTTTTCGCCCAGCGGTCCGCCATCTGATTGCCGAGGACCAGCCAATCATCTTCAAAGCTGGTGGCCGAGGAGCGCGCGCGATGCGCCTTGACCTTGACAACAGACGCCTGGTGGCCGACCCCCCCCACCAGCGGACCCAAAAGTGCCCTCTAGAATTCATGGGGTCGAGGGCCGCGCCTGGATTCACCGCGCACTCAATCGAACCCGCGCAGCCTGAGTAAACAGTGAGGGGATCTTCAGCATTCCACTCCGAGTATTCAGCCAAGACCTGAAAGGCCCTATCCTCTCCATCTCGCGCCGTTTGCTTGGGCGCGTAGCTGAGAGGAACCACTCCAAAGGCGCCTGCCACCAGGCGCCCGCTCTGGTTGATCTGGACGATGGACCACCCAGCGCCGGAGAGCCCAGAAAACCGAGTGTTGAACGCGCTGCCGTCAACAAGAACTTCCCCTGCAAACTTCCAGCCCCCGGGGACCCCAATCCAGATCAGCTGGTCCTCAAGGTTGGCCTCCTGAATAGGAAAGCAACGGGCTGGAGACGGGAACAGACATCGAGCAAACATGTCCACCACCTCCGGTGCCAGTGAGCTCACTTTTCTGGCAGCTGTCCGCACGTGTGGCGGGCATTCATCACGCCTGTGTGCCTCGATGCACGGGCACTCGTAAAACCGATGAAACAGCGTGCCCTGTCCTCCACAAATCAAGCATCGACCATGCTGGGCCTTGCCATGCCTAAAGAGCCGCGCTTGTGGCCAGTGGGATCCACCCGCCAAGCTCCGCAGCGCCGCCTTGTGATGCGGCGCCCAGGTGCCCGCGGCACTGCGAGAGAGGAGGTGATTGAGAGGCCCCCAGCGCAGAGCCCCACGCCACCCCTTTTCAATTCTAGTCAGAGCCAGAACGTCAGAGGAAACCAGCGCAGCTTCCTTCGCACGCTCCGCTATAAACCCTGCCGGGAATTCCAGCATGGAATACTCGAGGCCCTGGAAGACCAAAGAGAAGGCCGTGGGCATCGCAATGCCGATGCGCGCCATGCAAAGCAGCACAACCTGACCGGGGTCGATACAGTGCGCCCAGGGCTTGGCTTTGCCGAGGAGGTCCTTACCAGCCTCCCAGCAACCCTGCATGGGGCCACGCCCTGGCAGCTCCGAGAGGGTCGAGAGAGCCCATTGCTTCGCCACTTCTATTGCATGCACCACCCAAGGGTCCCTGAAGGAACCCCCGGGGGACACGCGCAATCGAAGGCCTACCGAGGTGCCTGCAGGGAGGCGGCCCTCAGCACGAAGGGCCGACACTCTCAACCCATGCAACTTGTGGTCTGATAGACCAGTGACCGCACTCCCCCGCACCGCCGTCGCCGTAGGAGACCCCCTCTGAATAGTGCTGACAGCCGCGCCTGCAGCTCTGAGCTGCTGCACTCTCGCCGAGACTCTCTTGGCCTCGGCGATTCGTTGATCTTGTTCCCCGCCCTCCGAGCCGACTCGTCATTGGCATCGGTGCCCAAGCACCTGGTCCCGATGAGTCGATCCTGATCGCCGAGAGACCACCTAGCGTTGAGCTGTACGGCCAACTCTGCAGAGGATGTTAAATAGCCCGTCTTATCCCAGTTGGCCCGCAGCTTTTTCTCCTGGAGCCCACGGACCAAGGCCATCATGGCCTCAGGAAACTGGGAAAGAACCTGCTCAGCAGCGCCGAGCGCCTGAAGCAAAAAATCGCCCACGAGGTTTTGAAACCGCACCGCGGGGAACCCGGCTTGCAACTTCGCGAGTAGCGTGTGCGCCAGCAGCTTTGCCAGCGCCAACGCGCAGCTGCACCCCGCAGCGACAGTCCCATTAGCCTCCACCGCAGGCGCAACCGCTCCCTGCCAAACAGCGCGCCGAGGAAGCCTATACGCCGAGCAGAGGCTACGAAGAATGGCTAGCGGAAAACCAGTGTTGATGGCTTCCCTCCTGAGCTCCTCATGTGAGATGTATTCATCATATTTCGAGAGGTCCAGCAGCTCACTGGCAGCCGAAAACCCCTTCAGACGAGCGAACCGCTGGAGCACATTGTGCACTAGTCCTGACCTATCACAGGTGTGCCCCGAATCTCCCCAGAAGGCGGCATTCGCCAGAGACTTCTCCCAACGACGAACAACGACCTGACGACACCTAGACCACACCCGAGTCCAGAGGGAGAACAGGACGATGGGTCTCACACCCCCTGGGGGATTGGGCTTGCTTAAAAAGAAGACCAGAAGCGTCCAGAGATTATGTTCCTCTGGTGCTCTCTCCCACGCATGCAGGATGTCCAACAATGCCTGCCGATACGAGCCTGGGAGATATGTCATCTGCCTGGGGCGAAACTTGTCCCACCCCAACCCTGCGTTGGCGGGGTAACTCTGGAGCACTCGATCGAGCTGCTCAAGAGTGATTGGTGGGAGCTCGGCGCAAGCGTCAAGCCTTCCAATCGGCGTTCCGCCAACCTCGGGCCTCGGGTGGACCCCTCGCGGGCACGCGCTTCCACCAGCATCCGCGTCCCCAGTAGAGGGCCGAGAGAGCTCCCACGACGCAGGGTGCGGTTCACACTCGCGCTCTGCGTTAACCCAGAGCGGAGTCCAGGTCTGCGTGATCAAATCAAGGGCCTCCTGGCCTGCTACAGGAAGCGAAGGGGCGCCGGCTTCTGCCGCCGTCTCCATGACAGAGGGCTGCACTGTATCACGGACGAAGCGAAAGGCGCAGCTGCCACCGTTAAGAACCGCCGACTGGGCCCACTCACGCCAAGCTCTAGCTGCTTGAGCTCTCGAAGACCTCTGGAGATTGGCCATGTGTTGCCTCGCAGCCTCCATGAATTGCGAGACCCTGGCCGACTCCCCATCAACCCGAGACGCGACTAAATCGACTATGTCCTGACGTGGGGTCTCGGCCCACTTGCTGAGCGACCCCGACTCAGGCCAA